TATGAATCTGTAAGCATTTCAGAATTGTTTTCCAAGTTTCTAGTAATTTTTTTGCAAATTAACGACATCCAGCCCTGGCAATAAAAACCTTGCCTTCTTTCTCCAAAGAAGGGATTGGGAAGCATTTTCTGGTTTCCTAGCAATGGTTTCACTGTGAGTTATGCATAGAGCCGGTTGAGAAGGTGCTGTCCTATTAGCTAAGATTTTATGTGGAGTTTTACCTGCTTATTCTGAGGGACAGAACAAAATCTATGCTGTCTAAAGCCTGTAAATTACCATTCCACAGCTTAGGTTGGAGAACCTTTGTTAAATTGAGCTTAGTCAGAAAACTGACTCTGTCTAAATGCCATCTTGGCTCTTGTATTTATTGCTTCTCAAGGACTTCCAGATCAGACTGTTTAGATGGAAAAAATCAAAATATACTTTTTCTGTTGGCTTCCCAGAGTTGGACCTCGGAAACACAGCTCTCTTCTTTTGACTTCTATCCTTGCAACAAGCAATTAAGAGCTTTCAGTTAGGCCATGGTAGACAAAGTTATTGAGGCAAAATTCATAGTATATTATATCCCCTTTTCCCCTGTATTGTCTTGATAGTTTAGCTGTATTTATTAAAAAAATCCACCTCCTTAATTCAGTGAGCAGACAAAGTAAATGAGAAACAAAGGCACATGGGAATCGGATGAGATAAATGAGATGGTATCTTCAAAGCAACGTAAGGACTCACCAGTTGAGTAGGGAAAAATAAACTCCCACCAATCCCTTTTTCCATCGCTTTCCTTGGGACTTGTTTCTAAAACACATAGGCTCAAAAAAAAAAAAAAAAAAGAGAGAAAAAACATACTCCAGACTGCTGAGGTAATGAGCACACAAGATTTTTCCATCTTCAGCCAACAAGAAGTCATTATCTCCTGTACACTATCTTCTGTCTTGCCTTTTACAGCTCTTCTAGATCAGCTACACTGGATACAGAAATCCACATGTACGTACTGGAGCATTTAATCCTAAGCACTTACTGATAGCTGAACACTAGCAGTTTTAAGATGTTGTAGCTCTTTGCTGTCTGCCCAGCCCTCTCTGTTGGGCCTGGCCACCCCAAAACAGATAGGGTGGGGAGGGGTTGTGTGCATACACCTTAGTCACTATGGAAAAATATCCAGTGATGTAGTTCACACAACTGATGGAAGCAGGGTTCAGCTGCAATACCTGATTTTGCCCAGTCAGGGTTTGTTCCCTGTGATGGTTTGTTTAGCCCATTTTTAATTCCACAAAAGATGAGGTTTTTCATCAGTTCCCAAGGAAAGCTGTTTGAGAGTCCAGTGGAGCCCCACAGATAGCATAGCACAGCACTCTTTTCCATTCCTTACGTTTGCTTACTCTCATAGAAGTTTCAAATGCACAACAGAGTCATCTTGAAATGTAACATAACCTTCATCATGTTGGCTGGTCAATCAAAAAGTGCTGTAGGTGTCCAAGTTGCATTTATTACTGGTGAGCAGTGCTCACAGTGTGCGGTTGCTTGCTAGCTGCTCTGCATATGAGTAGCTCTTATCTCTGAAGGCTGCACTGCAATGGTTGATCAGGCTTAAGAAGCTTTTTATTAGCAAGGGAGGGGGATGTTACTACTTTAGGAATCAGGTGACCCAGAACCATCTCTGCAGCACAGAGAAAAACATCCCTCTCTGTTCACACTCCTCTAATTACATTTAGTATAGTATTGTTTCCATCTAAATTATAGCAATTATATACAAAAATCTTCTTTGAAATCATTTAATTAAAGAGCAGCTAATGCTCTGTGCTTTTGGAATGCTGATATATTGCTTTCCACTTAGGAAACCTTGTTTTTTCCATTAATTATCATTATCATGGAGAATTTCAATGGCAGAGGGGTTTTTTTAGCTTGGTTTAATAGATTTAAAATGCAAGTGGTTCTGGCAATTTTTGTAGCTTGTAAAGCAAAAAGAAGCCTTTTGCTGTCTTGCTGGACAGTTAGCTGGACAGTCTGAGGAACAACGTTTTCCTTGAGATACATTGGCTGCCAAAGTGTTGGGTTTCTCCAGCCCTGTTATCTTCTGGGTTCAGGCAAGCGTTTGTGTTTAATTATGTTCTCCCCTCCTCTTGCTATGTTTTCGGTGTAATAAGGGTCGTATCCTGAACTGGTATAAATCTGTTGGACTAAATGATTTCTGCCTGCTGAGTTGCTGCTTTGTGGGAATGACATTTCAGTCATGCATCACATCCAGGACAAACAAGATTCATGGGAGAGCTGCCCAGCCATGCAATAATACCATGACAAGACGTGCACTCTGTAAGAGTATGTGCTGAAAGCAGTTGTGGCGTAAGAGCTGGGGGGATTTACCCAGTGCCAAGGGAAAGTGGGGAGGGGAGCTGGAGTTAGAACTCCTACCTGAGTACATTTTTGGAGGCCTTCTGCATTGTCCCTCTGTGCTATTTCCTATTCCTCTCTTCTCCCTCCTTCTCCCAACAAGTGCCCTGGCACCCCATATTGCTGTGGTTTCCGTGGGCTGATTTTGGTCCAGGATGTGCCTTCTGTGTTGAGGAACAGGAATTACAGTTTCTTCTGTAGCTTTGCCTGAATGCGGTGGTGTTTCCTATCGCTAATACCCCACAATTGGGACCACACTAAGAAATGTTCTGAAGAGCCAACAACAACCTACCTAATTCCATTCCTACACACAAGTCCTTCCCCACGTACTCATTTCTAACCTGTGTACGCATTTGTCACAAGTTCATCTTGCATTGTATCCTCTCCCCTTCTTGTCAGCTTCTTGGAGCTTGCCTCTGTGAGGCAGAACTTGGATATAGAAAGGTGTCCACAGCAAACCCACAACTCCAGGGTCTCAGATCTCCCCCACCCCCCTTTATCTCCCTGATACCCGTGAGCTGAGACAGGTCTAAATGGGAGAACATGACTGATTCCTGGATGGTCTCTGTTTTATGAAAAACAGCACAATGCAGAGGAGTTTTGGTGTAGGCTACAGTCTACAGGAGTAGTTTGGGCAGTGAGGGGAGAGCAAAGCCACAACCCTGTGTGATTGCAGTGTAAATTAAGATGAACTAGAGTAAAGAATGGCTGCACACTAGGGATACAGCAGGATCTGGATTGCAGTCAGTGCTTGGAAACGCAATAGAAGTTTTCTCTTTTGTTTCTTTTTTGCTTTCATAGAGAAATTTGTAAATCATCTCTCTCCCCCCCTCTTTCTTTTTTAGACTGGAATAATTAAAAAAACAAAAACTGTAATCTTATAAGTGGCTTGGGTTAAAATGTAGGTTAGTGAAAGATTTGGTATAAGGAAAAAAAAACATTCTTTCTCTGCCCTCTAAATCTCACAATAAAGGTGATACAATGACATTTGCTGCTTCGTGAGTGTCAGAAAAGATTTGGGTTTCAGTACATAAAGAATTTTTAAAATCCGGAACTTGTATTTTAGATGAGTTTTTAGGTTCTTTTATATATTCGTTTGAGATAGCCAAGAAGTTGGCATGTTATAATGACAAACCAACTTGATCATTGTAATTTTTTTGTTGTTTATGTGTACTGAGATGCTCCTCCTGCCAACGAGAAGCTGTAGTTTTATTAATGGCTTTTAAAGTCTGGTCACCCGTGTCCCTGCCCTAATCTCCTCTTATTACACACCTCTTTGGAAATCCAGCTGCAGCTGATTGAAAAGCTGCTCCTTACTGAGAAAATCACAGCTGGCCAAGGGAATAGGAAGCTGTTACTTGATCAAAAACTGAACATCTTGCAGACCTAATGCGTTGTTTCTGGATGGATGGAGTCTTTCGTCTGGGTACCTGGCGTTATTTATTAATTAAACCATGTTTTTGCTACGATTTTGCATTATTTGGTGAAGGTGCAAGCTTCCAATATGTAGAGTCCCTTAGTATTTGTGGTGGTGGTGCTTTGGTGATGTATACCATCAGTACTCATTGTTGCTTTGGTCCTTCCCTTCCAGACACTTAAGCATGCACATAGCTTTCCCTGCAGGTGGAGGAGTGCCATGTAGTTAGGATGGCATTTAGAGAGACTTGTGTTCAACAACCAGCTCTGCTGCTGATGTTCTGGTCCAAGATTGGGCGGAAGCCTCTGGTGCTATTCAATTTTATATGATCTCATTTATCACCCCATTAGTAACAGACCTGTGCCTCAGTTTTAAATTACAGCCTGAGTCCTTCTGCCACTATTTTTCGAGTGCTGACCCTTCAGCTCCAACTGCTCCTGTATACTGCCTTACTCAGTACAAGCCTTGTGTTGCCCTGGAATTCTGTGGGAAAATGTGTCATTTTCATCCTGAAAATCAACTTATTACTTAGCTAGGTGAACCATGGAGTGTGATCAGTGAATGCTGATGATGAGTGACCTACTCAAAAGAATTAAGAAAAAACTACTGATAACCTTACAGTGGTGATCACTTATAATTCCACTCCTACTAGCCACAGTCAGCATTCACGAGGTGGAAGGGAGGCTGCCGTCTTTGCAGGTCACTTGCCTACAATCAGTATCCCAAATATATTATTTCAGGTGTTTCTTTTACAATTCACTAAGTAGTAAGTTTGTGCAACATGAAAGTTCAGCAGTAAAGGAACTGAGTCAGCTAAGAAAGGCTTGATTTTGAGACAACCACATCCATATATTCATCAGAATAGCTCCCTTTACATTAGACGCATACTTTCTAGTCTGGTTGTTTATTGTTCTGAGTGATACCTAGCTGTCTGTATTAGACTTGGGGCCCATTGTGCTAAGTACTAGCGACATGGAAGACCTTCCAACACAGGCTGTACAAGGGGTCAGGCAAAGGCTAAACAATCCTAGGATGTTACAGGAACAGGAAAGTGTTATTCATGACTGATAACATTTTCTGTCATCAAGCTCCAAGACTATGTATTGGTTTTTGCAGCTGAGATTCATGAGAAATTATTTGCTTAATGGAACCATATCTCTGGCTAACTCTGGTTCTTTCTTTTTTCCTCTCCCACGCTCAGAGTTTTTGGACACTTCAGTCTCCGTTCTGAATGGCAGCTGGTCAAGGTGGACTACAAGTCTATCTTCAGCCAGAGGTGTAACAAAGATGACTACCAAACCTGGCATCTGCACAATCAGGTATTCCCATTGTGTAGGGAGGGGTTGAGGGGGGCTCCTTTTCCCATACTCTGTGTTGCCAGGTAGGAATGTATTTGTTCTTTTCAGCAGAGCATATGGATTTTTTGCATCCATCGAGTCACAGTTCTAACCTGTTGATGCTTTACTTCCCCTGAAGCATATGCATGAATAAATGCGGGGCCAGTCTTCTCCGGGCAAGTTAGGGAGATTGTTAACTTCTCTTTGTATGAAAATATTCCATTGCACCAGCTGGATCTTCTTGCCCTCAGTGCTCAGGGCAATGTAAAACCTCACCTTGTGATAGAATTGTAGGAGACATTGAACTCTTTGTAGCTCTGTCAGTGACTCTTGAAAATAATTTTCTTTCACTTTGCCTCTCTTTTCCCTACTCAAAAATGAAAATAAAAACATTTATTCATCCTGCAGGTCCTGCAGGTGTCTGTAAAACTCTGGGGAGCCCTTGAATAAAAGACACCAGAGAAGACCAAATTATTTCATTTTATTCAAGGATACATGCTTTGCTTTTCATACACTCTGGCTTATTTTCATGCTGGATATATTTAGGTCCTGAAGCCACTATAACTGAAAGAGCTCAATGCTCTCTGAAGATTACTTCTGGGTTACTGGCCACCAGTATGATATCCCACTCCCTGCAGGGCAACATAACTAGAGCCAGAACTGTTGGCACTGTGATATTCCTGAATGAAATCCATGAATTAGAAATGAGCATTAATTTGGCAAGGATGTATCAGATAACTGAAGTCATAGAATTGAATAAATGAAAATAATTTAAACGAAAGAAAAGGGAAGACGTGTAACCAGGCAGCCATCTTGGGAATCACTGTTAATGGGAAGGAGAAGTGTTTCAATTAGGTGTTGTCTTTTTTTCTTACTTCTATGCAGACAAATTATTTCTGCATCAGAGAAAATTCTATTTATAGCAACTCACCTAAATGTCAAATGTTTCTTTTAGATTAGCTACTCCCAGTAGTGCTCTTGGAAACCATTGTGTTCAAAAAGCTCGGTATAACACACCATCAAAATTATTTGAGGTCTATAACAGAGCCAGGTCTATCAAGGAAAGAGGAGGGGAGCCAGGACTCCTGGCTTCCTTACCTAGATTTTGTCCCTGCCCTGGTTTTCAGGCTTGGGCACTTCTTCCTGTAGTAGATTTCATCTGGCATATGGAAGAAACCCTGGAGTACATCCACATTGTCTTTTCAGGATGATTCATAGGACTAGATACATTGGTGGATGCCATCTGAAATATGGCATAACTGGGTGCCTGCGATGGCTTGGGCACCCAGGCATTTTGAGCACATTGTCATTAGCATCCCAACTCAATGCTGAACACACTGCACTCATGGGTCCTCCCAAGGTGGCTTTTGAGTTTGCAAAGCCACAAAAGGGAGCTAGACTTTTAGCTCCCAAGTCTCCCAGTGGTATTTGCATGCTTTCATTGCCTTTTGTGTCTTTCGACAAAATGCTCCATTTAGGGCCCAGCTGCCACTACAACTCTCTGTTTTTATTTCTCCTCCTCTTCCTTGGCTGCTGAAGGGGGAGCCTTGTGTCATGGGAGAGAGGAAGATCTATAAAAAACGCAAGCCTGGAGCCCAGTGTTCCCTAGGTCGGGACTATTCCCAAACTGTGGTGTCTGAACCATGTGTCTGCGGTCAAGGGGACTTTGAGTGGTGAGTATGTGACTCTGGGGACTTTTGCAGGGACTGTTCTTGTAAGCATTGGCAGTGGCCGAGCTACTGCCAGGACAGAAAACCTTGCAGAGAAACTGGGTGTCATGCAGCTTTGTGGCTGTGATCATACCATACAGCATAGATGTGATCCCCATACCTGTTGTATGAGGGAGGTATTCCCTGCATCTGCAGGAGAGATTTATTAATCTCCATGAGAAATCCAAGCCTGGAATTCAGAAGCAGAAAATTGCAAGTACTGATTGACATTTTTTTTTGTCTATCATTCTAGAAGAGTGACAGCCAGGACTATTCTCTGGTCCAAAGCATGTCCCTTACAGGAAAAAGAGGGAATTTCTCAGTCCTTACTTCTAAGGTCATTGAATACCTAGGGAGCAAGCTAGCAAAACATGCACATTTTTATCATTATACCTCTGAATTCTCGGGAACCATTTGTTACTCTTCAGCAATGTTTTACTGAAATTTCTGGAGAAATTTCTGAAAAGGCTGCCGTGACATGACTGTACAGCCCACCCTTGTCAGATGTAGCTACTTGTTTTGCATAAATATTGGTGTTTCTAACTTAATGGGGCCATAATTTCCAAACTGCTTTAAGGTCACTTTGAAAGCAGCTTAAAAATAAACCAGGGAGAAAATGAATCACTGCTTGATATTGCTTGACAATCAGGGATAGGAGATGGGAGAATGCATAAGTCAGGATCTCTGCACAAGGATTTCCTACAGGGAACCTGTGATAGGCAATATTTCAAAGATTTAAGACTGTCAATAGCTGTGATGTTTGAGCTTAAATGATCAGAATGTCATTTAAATGGAGTTCAAAATACTCTGAAAGCAGATCAACGGAGAAAACATTTTCATTTTTATAGTAGGTTATCAGGATCAGTGTCTGATCTGGTATCAGTGTGATTTCTGAAAACTTCACTTACCTTCGAATCCTTCCTGAAGAGGTGTGAGGCATGAGATCTGCACACTTATTTGGACTTAGGCCAGCTGAGACTCACAGTTCTTCTTAGAACACGGACACACTGAAATGCAGCAAAAATTAATAAAAAATATAGACCAGAGTGTTTTCTTGAATATTGGAGTAGTTTGGCTCTAAGAGAGGTTTAGAGATACAGAGCAGAGATTTTCACCTTATTTGGATGGATGTTTAACTCATTCCTAATGCCAAAATTACATCTGAGACTCCTTAGCTTGATTCAGGAGATCTTTTCCCTTTGTTCTCATCATGGGAACTTGCAGGATGAACAAACTGTCTTGCCCTGCACTATCTGCCTTTGGCATTGGCGTATGCCTCTGAGCTGAACCAAGCACCGATCTCCAGAGATGCTTATGAATTTGCTCTTTTTTTCTTTTTTTTTTTTTTTTTGCGGCTTTGTGCCTCACCAGCTTTCTGTTTTCACAGTGAAGCTTGTTTTTTCTAAGCTGCAAGTGGAAAACTGTGGTAGCTAAATTGGCCTTAAGTGCTGTTCTACCTTGAAAAGGGTCTGCATCAGAATGCGCCTTTTCAATCAATTGACGTGTTCCTTGCATGTGTTCAGTATCATTTTTGCTTAACTTTCCCACTAACATGAGAGATCATTGCTGTTAACCTTGTGTCATGGAGGCTCACATAATCAAATTAGGCAGGTGAGAGATTAAAAAATAAACTTTATTTACACCAAAATTGTTTAGCAGAAAACTAACTAGAAATGAGGTGTCAACTCTCCGACAACATCAGTAAACCACAGGTTCAGGATGGTGTGTGAGAGATTAATAGTGCACAGCCGGCTTTAGAAATGAGGATCCAAAGTGTGCACAGTCACTCACCTATAAGGTGAGGGCTCTCAGCCTTGAGGAGTTTCCTTGGGTGGCGTCCTGACCCAAGGGGAGAGTCCCCGACTACAGACCCGCTGCTCCGAGGAGGACCGGCTCCACTTGCCCTCCAGTGGGGCTCCATTTATACCCTAGTCGAATCTGACCTGTGGTCAGTTCTAATTGGCTGAGGGCCTTGACTTTCTTACCCCTCACCCGAGGTGTATGTGTGACCATAATTACTGGCCCAAAGTGTGTACATGGCGGTCAGCACTCGCCACCTTAAAGGCGCGAAAGTAAGGGCGTGAAAAGTAAGGACGCAGTGGTCTTAGTGCCCGCAGTCTTTGTCAGGGCGGGTGCACCTGCCACACCTTGTTAGTCCTGCCAAGGAAATGCAGTTAGAGGACAGCAAACTGGGTTTTGTTTCAGACTCTGCGCTGTCAACAGAATTGTTAACTGGCTTCCAGTTGCAAAATTATTATAGCTGGTGATGGAGAATCAGAAGAACCAACTTCAGTTTAAGGGTGAGTTTTGATGCTGGTCTGCAGGGCTGACTGGAAGAAGGTGTGAGGCAATCAGTTTGAAGAAAACACTAGCAGTGCTGGAAATGGGGCGCCAACCTTCATTATCTTAAAAGTGATTTTCAAAGAGGAAGGGTGGACTCATCTGCTCTGACCTGTGACTTCTAAAGTTATTTAGTCAGTGGCAAGATACAGGTTCTTCTAGAATATGATTCATCTGCCTTCTTTTGGATGTCAGTATGAGAAGGGGAGGTGCTGAGAAGTGCCTTTTCTCTCCGCTGGCTGGAAGAAGGCTCTATGCAGGGAGCTTATGGAGATACGTTCCCACTGTAGGTATCTACAGTTGGAAGGACAGCTCCTATTCTTTCACTTGGTGCTTTTGAAAAGGAAAGATGTCCACTCAGCCTTTTCTGGCGTGGTTCACAATTGCCAGTTGTTCTTGGAAGCACTGACTGGCCTGTCTCTTGTGTGTGAACTGAGCAGGTCCTGTGGAGAGTCAGGGAAAGGAGAAGGGTCCACAGCTGGGGTTGTGTGAGTACAGTGACCATCAGGTCCCAACAGACAGGCCCTGTGCTTCCCCAGTAAGTATATTTGGAGGCTGGTTCTGGTCACAGAGCATCCCATGCTACTAGGTGTGATGACGCCTGCCTTCGAGAGCTGCGCAGATAGGACAAATGGCTGTAGGAGCCCTACAGCACAAGCTGTGAGGCCTGTGCTCCCTCCCAGTTGGTCACAGTGCCCTTGCCCCTGTCTGCCTCATGTTGCAGTGCTATCTGTTTCCTGCTGTTAGATATAAGGTTGACCTGAATTTCAGGGGCATAAACCATGATCCCGGGCCCCAGTTCAACAAATCCTCATGAATCAAGATCAGGGGTGACTCCTGCCAACCCTCGCAGTCATTTCCAAAAGCAAACCCTGGCCTTTTTCTGACAGAGAGAATGGCAGAAGGAACTCAGAAGTGTTATTAAAATGCTTGCTGATCTTTCTTTTCCCTCCTCCTGTTTCTTTATTTACTCTGTCAAGATAGCTTTCCTGAGAAAGACAGCGCAGCAGCTGGACTTGATTATTTCCTTAACTTATGCAAACCCTGGGGCTTATGAGAAGGAAGGTGGGCAGCATGCAAGGTTTTAATATACATTTACCAGAAGTTAATGAACAAGCTCAGAACCTTGAGGGCATACAGCAATGTTGTCTTTAATTTTATTAAATATTTATGCAGCTCTTTTCTTCTCTGGGGCAAAGTACAGCTCCTCCTGAATATTTTTAATTACCAAGTCACTACCAGGCATTTTTGACTGTGCAGGTCGGACCCACTGAGAATGATTAAATTGAATGTTGAGAGAAAGAGCATTAGGGAATCTCCAAACCTTTTAAAGTAGCTTGCAGAATTTTTGCCCTTCAAAAAGGAAACAGTAGCACTGTTTCCTGGGTCACTGGGGACGTAGCACAATTTTGTCTCACCAAGGCTCTTCCTAGAGACTTTCGGTTGGCAATTCAGACTCTGAATAGGGGAAGGATAAAACTCAGAGTGTCCTAAAGGGCACAGATAGCTTTCAAGGCAGTGGCTTCTGTAGTGTCCGTGTTTCCACAGAGATTTAGTTTGTTGGCATTTGTTAACCTGCTTCAGGCAAAAATCCAGAATCCCTCTTTATTTGCCCCTTGAATCCAGCCTGCCAATAAAGGCTAGGCATAGAAACCTGATCCAGAGCTTTGGATTAATCCTATTGCTTCATCATTGTATTGGCATGCAAAGGCAGCTGTAAAAAGAAGTTTTGGATGTGGTTTTGTGCGCTGCCACTCTTTGGTGGTCCAAGGAAGCATCAATACCCTGGCTTACCTTCCCCATGTGACACGGTATCATGTAATCCTTAGACTACCAAGTTGGCTGTGTTGTTTTAGTTTAGTGTTGGAAAAACATCAGCTATGGTTTTCTTTCAGGCCAGTCATAGCTCAGCCAAAGAGCAGGGAGGCCATTAACATACATAAATATACATACCTTGGCTAGTTGTTCAGGAAGCGCTCCTAGTGTTTTATATTCTTAACTGCTTCGTTGGGAAAAAGTGGCATCAGATATTGGAATTAGTCTAGTTTGTTCTGAAAGCAAAGACTGCAAAAAGCAAGCAAACCAAAAGAACCCAACAAGTGACATTATTAGAGATTAATAGGACAAGAAATTAACAATACAATTTTCTTTCTGAATCTCTGCCCATGTTTTGTTACCAAATGATACAAGTCCTCCAGTGCTCTGCAAGGTTGGTAGTTCTGGTGTTGTCGGGTATCACATACCTCCTGTGAACTGTGTTCCTGCCTCTCAAACTAATCAAGCACTTTGTCTCTGGATGAGCCCAATCCATGATGTCATGCCATCCAGCAGAGAGCCACCAACACACACGTGCTTTGGGGAACAAAAACGTCACCTAAAACTCTGAGCTAAATCTAGTGAATGGGTACAGTGATGCACTCATGACTTGTCTCCATAGTGACTATGGGTATGAGAGGCACAGCAACAACCAGTGTGTCCCAGCCTTCTGGTTCAGCCCGTCCTCCCTGTCCAAGGATTGCAGCATTGGTCAGAGCTACTTGAACAGCACTGGGTAAGTGAACCTTGCAATCTCTCTGGTTTTGGTGACCTTGCAGTAGACAAGAGAACCTGGATGGTTCTTTTTTCTCTGCATCCTGCCTGGCTCTTTTCCAGTCTTATTCGTGAGGTGATGTTTGCAGCAGCATCTGTATGGAACATTGCCTCATTCCTCAGAGGCAGGGAGAAGCACATTAACATAAGTGACATGTAGATATTGTATTGCCGTCAAGTGATGTATGATCCTTGGAGCCTAGACTTGGAGCTCCCCTTTGCTGCAAAATTAAAACGCGAATCCAGAAGGTCTATCTGAGAGACAGCTGAACATTTAAAAGGACAGGTTCAAGGTGTTTCACATCATTTTTCATTGACCCTCTTACTATTTACAGCTGCTATTTATAACAGCTTCTAGGGAGTCTCAAATGAGCAATTTTTAGCATCATCTCTTTTTTCCTCTGCCATTTTCGCTTTGTATATACAATGTCTTGAGATTTCAGACAAGCTACATGTGCTGGTTTCTCTTGGTTTTACCCAGAACAGATGGCAAGTGTTGGTTTATTATGGTAGTATCACTTTGCAAATGCTATCATGTGGGGGATATTCTGAAACTCTGTTTGCACTGACTGGTGCAAAATCGCGATGTTCCCTCTCAGGCAGTGCAGGCCCTGAAGACTTTGCAGGGCTGCTTCTGAGTCACGGGTCCTGCATCCTTGATTGTTATGACAGGGTTGTTCGTGGCTGGTTGATGCAGATGGCTGAACAAAGTGAGGCTGTTGGGAGTCTGGAGTCGCTTAACTTCAGAGACCCCCTTTCAGCTAAAAGGTTGCTATAAATATGGGATGTAATTACAGGAGCCCTGGTCAGTATGACTGCTTGTAGCCCTCTTGACAGAGAGCAAAAAGAAAATAGTTGGGGTCTGAGTCTTCCTAACCAATCCTGTATTTTTACTGTGAGATTACTAGAAGGGGTTAATCTCCCTCAACAGCACCAGGAATAGCCAAGTGCCTTGCTAGTTAGCTAACCTCTTCCAGGAAGAGCCAAGAGAAAAAAACATTCCTTGAATCATTTTAAAATTGTATTGGACAAAGCTCTTGGCAGATCATTCCAAGTGCCTTCTAGCAGAGTAGAGGTAGGCAAAATGTAATAAAAAGCATAATTAAAAAGCTGGGATGCAGGGTGCAATCCTGCAGGCATGGGGAGTTGGGGGAGTTCTCTGCCTTTTAGCAGTGCAGAATAATTCACCTCCACAATGTGTGTCTGTTCTCAGTGATGCTGCTGAGAATCTCTGGAGAAGGTTAGATTGTGATTTGTTTGGCTTTCTCCAATTTAATAAAGCGTTAAATTTCTTTGGTTCTTTCTTTCAGTGAGGGAATCATGCAGGCAGCTAGCCTTTGAAAAAACACATGCATTAATATGGAAAAACAAAACAAAAACAAAACGAAGAAACTTTTCTGCCCACCACCTGAACCCAATCTCCTTTTGTTACTGTTCCCCAGGTACCGAAGGATCGTGTCTAACAACTGCACAGATGGCTTGCGAGAGAAGTACATGGCCAAGATGGAGAAATGCCCTGGAAAAGCACCTCGGGGACTGCACATCCTCACTACTGATGGAAAGTTGGTCACGGAGCAGGGTCACAATGCCACCTTCATCATCCTTATGGAAGAGGTTTGTTAGTGGGCTCGGCAAACCTTTCACTGTGTGGCAGGACTGGCACTCTCTTCTTTCATATGTCAGGCTGCTGAGAAGATAATAGCGATCAGGTGGGGTGATGAAATGATGAACACTCCTGAGATAGAGGAAAATTCGTGAAAGAGGGCTATATGTGAAACATACAAACCAATCATATTGGGTCAAGCCAAAGGAGTATTTGGCCGATTATCTTGTCTACCAGTGATGATGAAGCCGATGCTGAAGAAAGATAGATCTCGTAAAAAACATATTTACTCACTAGCTTCTTGCTGCCTCCAATGAACTGCATTTTTTGGAGTTTGTGAGGCAAAAATGGTGTCTCTATGCTTAATAATTCTGTTTCTGGGATGAAAAGCTTTAGCTGCAGCTTTGCTGGGAAAGGTTAAGGACAGTGGGGAACATTTTCAGACTCATGGGGAGCAGTGAGGGACATTATTGTTTTGCAGTAGGAACTGAGCCTCCTCAAACCACCCCTGAGCTCCCCAGCCCATATCTGTTTTATTTATAATGTGGTATGATTCCCTCTGTAGCCAACAGTAGTGTAAGTGATACCAGGCCATGCTGGTGCCTGAAGCATCAAAATATTGAGGCACTTCTGGTGATCTCTCTGAGTCAGGTACCCTTCTGCTTGGCAAACATGTATGGTGCAGCCTGTGTCACCAAGCCTTGTGGCTCAGTTGGATAGCTGAGGCAGGCACTTGGTATGTATTCAGGCTGACAGGAGGGTTTTTCAAATGACCTTATGCCTCTTCTGGTCTGTGATTTGATGTTTAGGGATATATGTGACTGCACCACAAAAAGCCCTGCTGTGTTTGTAGCTGCTGCAAAACCTGCAAAACCTGCTGCAGCAGCCACCCCTGCTGGCTTTTGACTGCCCGTGGAAGGTGTCATTGGAGGTCCAACAGTGATTTTCCCACAATGGCTTGTGTTACATCCGCTTTCTGGTTAAACAGAAGGGTCAACTCACAACCTCACTTCTAATATCTTTGGGTTTCTCAGGAGGCGCAGCCAGGGAGCGAGGTGGTGTTGGAGAACCACAAATACATTTTGTCATCTACTCTGTCCTGTGTACTTCATTTTGGGACAGTACCTGGGGACAGCTGGGAGCCAGATGTGTCATGGTCACAAACATAAGAATAATGACACCAGGACAGACTAGATGCCTGTCTCCTAAGTATCCTGCCTCTGACAACAAGCAACAGTGGTTCTCTAGGGAAATCATATCAGAAACAGTGCAAGCCTAGTGTCCCTTCCCCTCCCAGTCCCCGGAGTAGCCTCCATTGGCAACTACAAAGACCTTCAAGTATACAAGAAGCTGTTATAAGTCTGAGCATACTGCCATGGAGAAGTTTTGTCTCATGATACCTTATAAGCACACACACACTGCTATTAATCTAAATTCTTATACAGTAACTAAATGTTTCATTGGGACCACACTAATCTGACAGGGCCTTTTTACATACTTCCTTAGAGGTTCATGCATGCTCTGCTTTTATACAAAGGGGATTTCTTGTCTACCTGGCTGATTCTTTTATATTCTGCAGACTTGACATGGTAAGACAATTTGTATAGACACTGTGAGTGGGAGTTCAGAAGAGAACAGACATAATCTAAAAATTAGGAATCTAGTAGTAATTTATTAAGGAACTCGAGCGGAACTGCTGCGTACAAAGAATGATAAACAGATGGGGAATCAGGCAGCAGTCAAGGTAGCTGAAGAGTGGAGTCTTTACAAGGCTTTAGAGATTGAAGAGGCAGCTGAATAAATGTGCGAGGGCGTTCACTCTATGTCCTTTGTTGAAAAATAAGGGTAGTTAGAAAAACATTTCATTGAAACAATTTTTTTCTAAGGGAGGAGGATTTTCAAGAAGATGTCTTTGTGGGTGAACAGCTTATTCCAGAGAGTTGTGTGTTGAGTTTGTTTCTTAAAAGAATAGACATTTTAAGAGGAAAAAAAAAAAACAACTCTGAGATTTTGGGTAAAAGTATTCCAGTCTGTCAGTGTGAACCTGAGACAAATGAATTGTCATCAAAATATTCCTTATAAGTTAGAAGAAATAATTTCTGTAGAGGTCTTAATTATTACATAACTTGCTGCCATACAGATTCATTCCTGCCTCCCTCCATCTTCTTTGGTCAGTCTGTTTCCTGATGGGTGTTTTGCACCTATGTCTACGCTCATTTTCTGAGCCAAACAGCAGTCTGACAAGCCCTCCTATGGATACATCTGTGTGGTCTCATTCAGCCTTCCTACTCTTTCAGACTAACCCTGATCAGCAACTTTGTGATTAGCCATCAGTTCCTTTCTACCTTCTAGTACACACCCTCAATGTATTGATGTGACTGACCTTTATGCTGTCCAATGGTAAATGAAGACTTTATCGTAGTTAACTGAAAACTAAATTTCTCAGAATTTATAGATTTAGCTTTAGTAGTATTGTTCACAGTGGTAATTCAGAAAATGTGCCTGGCAACAACAATGGTCAAAGAAATGCAGAATGACTAATGATTTTGCTATGTTTTTAGAAATATGGGGCTGGACTGTGATTTGGACTGTGTATACATGCAAGGGAACATGAGGTGATAAGGACCTTTTTTTACCTTTTTTTTTAATCCAAGTTTGAGTTTGATCACAAAGAAATAACAGACTGCCAAATTGCTGTTGTATGGAGTTGTGTTCTTGACCAGATCTATTAATCTGGTTTTGCACCTGATCTTTTCCGTGCATCCCCAGCTCCCCTCTGAAGGGTACATAAACTCCCCTCAGGCCTAAATGGTTGTTTATGTGGCAGCTCCAGTTACTGGACTTTTCTGTTCCCTTGTCTTCTGTTTATGCCATCTCACAGCTTCCCTCTTGCAGTAATTACAAGGTGATGGCAAGGCTTTGTAACAGGGTTGTAATTGCAAGTGAGGTGAGAAGGCAAGCAGTGATTATTCAAAGGACAAGCCTGAGCAAGTATTGGAGCACTACACGTTAGAAAATTGCTAAACTGTGTTTATAGAAAGAAATAGCCACATCCATGTCATATTTTTATGCAAACAATTTGAGAGCTTCATTAGAAGACCCAAAATACATCATGTATATACACTCCACTCCCCCCAGCCCCAAACATATGTTGGATGAAATATAGCCCTTCTGAAATCAGTGGGAGTTTGGCTCTTAACTTCAGAAGGCCAAAATTTCAACCACTGTTCTGTCTCTACAGTTTTTGTCACTTTGCTAGTGTGGCTTCCAGGCAAGTCTTGATGGGGAAATGACTTTAAAGGGCTGTTCCATGGCAATACTCCTCTCCACCCATTCCACTACCCTTTACCTGCTCACTGATTTCAGTACACAGAGCTCCAATCTTGGTGACAGCCCCTAGCTCATTCCCTTTTGGTAGTTTACAGGGCTTAAAGCAATAAAATGTGCCTTTTGAATATATATGGAGAGCAATGATTTTTTTCCATTTGCAATGTGTCCACTTAATTTCTATTTTAATTTATATTCATAAACTCCAGAATATCTGACATCATGTATGGGGCTAGCACACTTGTTTTAGTATTTTATATACTGGATACAGAGGTATGGAAAGGAGAAAGAAAACATGATTAGTGTAATGGGCAGGCTTTGCATTGAAGACCCAACTCTCATAATTGGGTGAAAAGATCATCTGCTACTGTTTAGTCACAAAAAATCTCTTCCTGCTTCTCCACTTCAAACCTTCTCATTTCAAACAGAATTGTATTGGAGAAATAAGGAGGAAATAGAAAAGAGAATTGTAAGGCATGAGAGAGGAGCTGCTGTGATGCATGCAAGAGACTTCAGCCTGAGGTCACCAGTGATGAATCCAGCCGAGGTCAAATTCTTATCTTCTGTTCAGTGTCTTCCATATGGGATGAACTTGTGGTCTTAGTGCATTCCCTTGAGAAGTGGTTTTGAAAGGTTTAACAAGCTGTGGGAGCCTTTCTATCAAATAACTGAATATCCTAAGAGTGTAACTTTGCCCCTGCTGGAGAATTTTTGAGTGACTTAAAAAACTCTCTGTCAAAAGGATGTTATTGGCTACTCAATATTATAGATAGGTTTTAGTGTCACTACCACTCTAGTCCTCTATGTTTTCTTTTTTGTTTATACTGTATTTTTAATGTCCTAGTAGGACAGAGGTGAAAATGGTGCCCTGATCAAGTCAATAGACAAAACTCCCCTGGCTCCTGTGGAATGGGAATGATGGAGCAAGGAAGGAGAGAGATCTAACATATATAACCAAATATCTGTATTTCAAAACCTACATGTAATAACCCTGATTATATGGGTGTGTACCTGAAGACTCCAAGTATACATTCAAGACAAATTCACATCCGAAAAATACCCTTCCTACACACTGATTTGCTAATGCAGGCATAGCCTATGAGGAAGGTAAGTCTGTGGGGCATGCTGTGGTCCTGATTATCTACACAGGGGACCTGCTTCACTGTAGCCTGGCTTCTTGCCTGTGCTTCCAGGTTTGCATCCAAAGGACAAGATCAGGTGCACTTTCAGGGCTGGGACCAGTAGCAGAACACAGCGTCCTGCCTGTGTGAGTACTGCCATTGCCACTTACACAGGCTGATGGCAACTGCCAGTAAGACAGCAGCTCCCGTGAGTTTGGAGTCAGTGGGAGGCAAGAGCTGGGACCTCTTGCCTTTCATGGCTGTTTCTTTTTCTTTGTTGTGCACCTTTGGTCTCAGTTGCTGATCATTTGGGTTAGAACAGCCTGTGAGCTATTTAATCCTGATTTAAGGACCTCTTTTTCCATGATCCAGCCAATATTCTGCCTTTATCCTGACTGTCCTGGGATGATAAGAAGTCATGATCCAAAATGGATCTGTGCTACGTATGAATGTGTTCGAACCATATGAAAAATCGCTTACAGATGTGAGGTTCACAGTCTGAATTTAGGCTGCAAGCCTTGTGTTTTGCCGCACACAGGTAAACTTGAAAACTACCGCTAAAAGGAAAGCTGGTGCTGTTAGCTGTAAAACCTTTAGGGACTGTCACAGGTGTGGTTGTCCCAAGCAATCTTTTCCCTTTGTCTGATCTGCAGTTTTTCTAGGAAGTCATGGTTTGTTTTGTGCAATACTTGACCCAGAGGCTTTAGTGAAATCTGTGAGTTCAGTGGTCTTTTCCAGTGAGCCCAGTGGATGTAGGACCCTGCAGGATTTGAGCTGGCTGTGAAGGAACTGGAAGTACATCAGAACTGACTGTGAGTTACATGGTTGCTTTCCTCCCTTAGATCCGTATGTACTGGAACTGCACATTAGCTTTGATCCTGACCCTGTGCATTTACAGCTATAATGGGGTTTAGGAGATGGCCATGAAATATTTCTGAATTTCCTATTTAAAAAAAAACCCAAACAAGTTAAATTTAGGAGCGGGGATTTTTTGAAAAATTTTTTTTTTTTTACTTTGGAGTCTCACTTGTATCCTCAATATATCTGGGGATTGGTTTCAGTTTTGGGCTAGGAGCATCTCCAAAAGGTAGTGGTATCTTCTTCACCCATAGTGAATACAGTGGAAACCTTTCATGAAAGGAAATTACTTGGGCCAATACATCTTATATATATGCAGAAAGCTACAGAGATTTAATCTGAGGTGTAGTTTTATTTCAGTTTAGTGAAATCTCCACAATGGGCTTTAGCTCTGTTTAAATTAGCCTTGTTTTGTGTTACTTTTAGTCAGCTGGGGACAAGTATAAAGTAAGGCTTCAAGAAACTGAAATAACAGACACTTCTACAGTTCAACTACAGTGGTTTAAAGCATGATTTAAATTAAAACAGTGCAGCTGCTGCCTCCAGACAATACCTGCAATGCTGGAATCTCTTGCCTGTTGTTCCCTCCATTGTTTAATAGCTGTCATCGACAGTAATCCTAGAAGGGATTTTCTTGTCATCTACTTCATTCTCCTGTGTATCCAGGCCCTATCTCTGTGTTGACTGGCATTAGGCAAAAGCTGTCAGTCCTCGATGTGGGACTCAACCTGTATAAATTCAGCCATCCTGAAGTTACATTTCTAACTGAAACTAGTCATCTAGACTCTTTATCATCACGGTACAGGGATGGATATTTGCAGAAGATGATTCATGTCACCTGTCTCAGTTATCTTAGGATGGGATGTGTTGTCTTTCTTTCTCTCCCTTCCACAGACTATAGAGGAAGCCTGCAAAACTAGCTTAGACTAGACTTACAACATCTCAGTGACTAGGTTCTCTTTCTTTGGAATGTCTTGAAGACCCAATTCAGCCATCGGCCTGTCTCCAGAGTGTCCCTGATGCTCCCGTGTGCACGTGGCAATTGGTCTCCAATTAGCATCTAGCCTACCATCAGTGTAGTGCCTCCCATCTCACTGCCTCTGATGGAGGTACTTGTTGGACACCACCCATTCAACAAAAGGCTGTGCAAAGCCCTGGCCACTTCGGTGACACATAATCCCCAACCATGCATTGCATTAGATGATTCAAATATGGTCCCCTTCGTATATGCACATTTGGCACTCTGCCCTCCCAAAATCTCTAAATCCAAGATGAGAGAATAACATCTCTTTACAGGTATAAATGTTCAGCTATTCTAAGCATTGCTCATATATAATTACCCGGTGTTGATTTGAGTCTGGCCCCTTTGGGGACTGACAGAAAAAAACTAGGCTCTTTTGGTAAAGTTATGAGTTTGTGTCTATGCCAATGTAATGGAACTGAGAAGTGGGATGGAGGGTAATATAACTCTTATCAGCCCAGTTTCCTAACCCAACCTTCTCTGTTGCAGGGCGATCTCCAGAGGACAAACATTCAGCTTGATTTTGGAGACGGCATTGCAATATCCTATGCTAATTTCAGCCCTGTTGAGGATGGCATCCGGCATGTGTATAAGAGTGCTGGAATCTTTCAGGTGACGGCATATGCAGAGAACAGCCTGGGCTCTGACACTGCTGTCCTCTTCCTGCATGTGGTCTGTAAGTACTTCCAGCTGCTAGATTCCTTGGGTGGAAAAACTAACCTTACTGAAAATCCCTGCAACTTCACTGGAGCCTAAGAATACATGCAAAGCCAGCTACATATGCAGCTCATACTCTTCCAAAGGCTTGGACTTTTAGACACTCTTCTATCTTAAGTAAACTTCATTGAATGAAGAGGAAGGGAAGCTTCTTTTAAAACAAGTCTATTTGCAGTCCTCACAGGTACAGAGGAAAGTTTGAAAATGTTTCTCGGGCTTTCTGAAAGGGTCAGAGACCAAACAGCATATGAAACAAAGTCCAAATGTGTGTTTTCAATATACTTCTAAATCCAAGAGGTTTAGATTAAACTACTAAATTTTGAGTTAGTTATTCAGGATTTGGGAGTTTACAGTGCTTATTAAATAAAACAAAAACATTACGCTGAGCATACTTCCTGGGATATGAATGTAACTGAGGACTGATGTGCTACTGCTCATATTTCATGTGTTTGACATGCATCCCTGACTTCTCCCTCTTGTTTGGTAGATCAGTGCAATTTCTCTCCACTTGGCAAATGAGCAGACTCAAATACAGAGCCCCCAGCTGGCTTTCTCAAAGCCACAGAAGAGTGGAGGGTGTGGAATGCAGGATGAGACCAGGAAGATCCCAGTTCTTTGTCCTGCTCGCAGGCTGCTAGATCTCGTGGGCAGAGAGCTCCATCTGTGTTGAGATGTACCTCATCAGTTTTGCCCCTAATGGTGTTCACAACCATGTCTGGCTTCCCCCTTAGCCTGTCAGAATGTCTTCCAGCCTGTCTGCCTTTTATTTGAGCTTTTCTGCTGGAAAGAAGCAAGTCAGAAATTTCCAAAACTCAAGAACTTTTTTCTTCTTTCTAATTTCAAGCTCCCTGTGTGAAGGAATAAATGTTCCTTGAAGCTTTTATTATGCTCATAATTCCCTCAAAGTCAATCATGGCTGCATTTAACAACCTGTTATTAGAGCATTAACTGTTTTTTCCTTCACCTTGGGCCATTAGCTGACAAAAGTGATGGTTACCTGGTGATAACAACCAGCTTTGTGTGGATTATCTGATTTTTCTCATAGGAACTGCTTTTTCATGGTAAGGATTTTAAAGCAGAATGCAACGAGGGGCAGTTGCTTGGCCTGGTTGTGCCACTCTACCCTCTTCTTCCTCAGCCTCTCAGGTCTCTCCTTTGACCTCTATAGCATTCTTAGGTGGCCAACTTATTATCATTATCTCTAGGGAAATATTTTGCAAGCATTTACATTCATGCTAAGACTGAAATAAGATGATACCTCAGTTCTAGACTTTTAATATATTTGGATGTACTAGTCAATATATAGGAGGTTTGACCTTGAAGCTCAAATGTACAGATAAAAATGCCTGCTATATAAATCAACCTTATTATACCGTCTGTCTGGTGCTGGAATCCTGCGATGAAAAAAAGGAGAAAAAAGGTCCTTGGCCTCAAGCAACAGTAGTTTTCTACCTTGCAGCTTTATCAGTGGTCAGTCAACCTTTCTGGAATCTGCTGTCAAGCTGCTCATCCCTTCATTTTAAAGGAAGTGAAGATATTAGTATTTTTCTTCTTACATGCACCGTCACAAAATATTTGGGGGAACTTGCTATTCTTGGGAACCCAGAGTACTTGCTATGGGCAGATTTCAGGAGTGACTTGGTGGTGGAGACCCCTTTGGAAAAGGGGAACAAAAAAGAACAAGTTCTTAGGAGCCAAAAGCAAGAATAGTGTCCCATTGTGCTCAGAGCTGTATGTTCTGGTGGTAAAAGAACAGGTCTTGCTCTCCAAAATCCTTGTAATCCAAGTAGGTGTGGAGAAGTGATTAACGTCCCCATTTCATGCTTGAAAAGCTGAGAGGTAACACAAGAAAATTGTCTCAGTTAAAATCAGCAAATTTCCTGCTTCCCAGAATTAATGTCTTATCCCAAAAAAACCATCTCGCTTCTTTCTTATTTCATCCTTTCCCTCTCACAGTGATGGTCTATCAGTTTGCTGTGTTCTAAAAGGTACCATCCAGAAAGACTCAGTAACACTGTCTGACGTGCAGCAGTTCCCAGCTGAAATTCAGTACCAGTATAAAAAAAAAAATTAAACAAGAAGGAAAACAATGGAGATAGTAAAAGCTTTAAACAAACTAACAAACAAAATCTCAGTATTTTTTCCACATGTTGTTTTTTTCTGGAGAGGAACTGGCTTCTTAATTCTGAACTTCATGCACTGGACTCATTCTGGACATTTGTATTTATTAGACACAAATTTGCATTGATACTTTGGGTTTTTTTAAGTCTTTCAGAAACAAGTTCTTCTGACTGCTAAATGCTTTGATATGCCAATGCACACCTCTTTCAAGTAGTTCCTGCCTTTTTGCTAGTGGTAACTGACTCCCCAAAGAGTTCTCAAGGTCAGGCTGAAGTCAAAAAGATACTAAGTATTTCCAAAATCATGAAACTTTCTTTGGATACCTTCTAAAGAACTGTCAGGGAGTATTTAATCAAGTCATAAATGCCCAATATATAATCAGATTTAAATCACCTTGGCTAAAATGATTTTCCCACAAATCTTGGTAGTGGATATATTGTCAAGAAAACACCTTCTTTCTCTCGTGTCCTATCTCTCAAGCTTTCAATAACAGCTTGCCCTATCCAGTGCAAAGCCGGTTCATTGTTCTCCCTCAAACTGCATTAAAAAAATTCTTCTAAACGCTGTGCTGACCCTGTCTGAAATTAGCACTTTGGAAAATGTGCATCTCTGGCTCCCCTAGAATTCAGAGTGAGAAAAAAATGTGTGATTTTATGTTTATTAATCTTGTATCTTTTTCTTTTGCTTATTGACTGCTGAAATTGTCTTGTATTGCTATAATAGAGTCTCACTGCTGACATGAGACATTTGATTTATTTAAAGGAAAGATCCTTGTTGTTCACAACTGTGCAGGGAGGATTTAACTCAAAGCCTCTAATAATGAACTATCTCTTCCCACAGGTCCAGTGGAGCACGTCCATCTGAGCGTGCCCTTTGTCGCCATCAAAAATAAGGATGTCAACATTACTGCAGTAGTTTGGCCCAGCCAGACAGGCACGCTTACCTACTTCTGGTGGTTTGGTAACAGCACCAAGGTACAGCTACCCTTTGGTTCATTTTTACTTCCTAAGCTTGTTGCATCAGACAGGGAACTCTCTCAGTCCTAATAAAAACTTCTTGCCTTTGTTTGTTTTGTGTTTTAGTTTCTTCCTTACCTAAAAAGGGTTGTCATTATCTGAACTTTGACCTTTGTGAGTTTATTTCCTCACCCGTTGTTCTTAGGAGTCATTACTTTTTTACATCTTGTTACCAGCTCTACTGAGCTTTGAATACCGCTGCTATTACCAGCATTCACTTGCAACTTAACTGAATTATATACCACTATATCTGGGATGATACTGGCTTTCAACATAGTGTTTAAAAACTTCTGGTGTTCAACTAGCCATGGGGGCTTCCATTATGTAGCAGTATGCAGTATATAATGTTGGATTCCAACACAATACTTTAAAGCTGTTTGTGTTCAAATAACCAGTTGTATCTAGGTTTCAAGCTAAACTCTCAATGAATTGTTTGTGTCCGTCCGTGACCATTGTTCACAGTATTGGATGTATTAGAGAGAGATAGGTGAGACTTCTTTGTAGTGAATTTTCAAATTATTGGCAAAAATTTATTATAAAGAGCTTTTTTTATCAATAACTAAAGCAAGTGAAACTACAAGTTGCGGTCATGCTTTCAAATGGAGAGAGCAGGATTGCTTATTAGCTACAGTTTTTATTGGAGGCTTTAGGAGTGAGACAGCTGACACACAGACACTATCCTCCATCATTACAGCTGTGAAATGTACAGCTGATAATTTTGCACTGTAGTATCTGCTGTTATTTACAAAAGCAGTTTAAGTCACATCATTGTCTACATTATTGAGTCGCAGTTGAAGGTGTGCACTGAGGTGAGATCACAGGAGAAAAAAACAGGGATTTTACATGAAATATGGAACTTGAGATTAAAAATAGCAGGCACACAAGTATTTTATTTTCTCTTTAACAAAGCTGCTTGCGTTTTAACCTCCTACCCTAGCTACCAACAGTAGCAGGAGAAAAAAAAAGAGTAAATGCTGTGTCTACTGGGATTTTACATCAAGTTAGGAAGCTTACTGTAAGAACTCACCTATTTTTGTGGAAGCATAACTGATGCACTGGAAAAGCTCAGGAAGAAAACCCACTTACTATAACTTGGCAAGTTGCTGTGCCCGAGCTGAGCTGTGGCAACCACCCACATACACACATCGAGTCCATGACAAGTACCAGGTAATTCCATATAGTTTATACTGCACTGAAAGAGGTGGATGCAAAATCACATTACAGTTCAAATATTTTTGTCTCAGTGCTCACACATGGACAGCCATTAAAGTACATCTGAGACAATTTAAGTACTGGTAACTTGATCATCTGCTTAAGCCCTCCGGTGTACCCAGGTATCAGAGTTTTCCTGCCATTGCTTTTGTCCTTAATATAGAAGTTGGTTGTGAATAGGGCCTTAAAAAAAAGTTTTTTTGAAATAGAAAGTAATCGAGAAAAGGTAGAGCAAAGCAGTAGTGTTTGCTGAAGATTTCCATTCAGCTCTCATGGTACTTGCACCTGGGTTGTAAATATGATCTGTTATCTGTTTTATCTTCTAGCTTAAATTTCAGACCCATAGGAAACAGAGTACAAGCAGATACAGATGTGTTTGGGATGGATGCTCTGGACAGCTGTGCATGGAGTAGCTGATCCTGATGATACCTTGGAGTGATTGTACATGTTGCTGAAATGTGTAATCCACATGTTGAGAAGTGGATTAGTAAAGATGGTGCCACTTAGCAGTGGCCAGATCAAAGACCCAGAGCACCTTTCATTCTTTGCAAAGCATTATCTCCAGCTACCTCATGAAATGTACTTCAACTTCAACTCTGACAGAAATATGGCAAAGGATATAGACATAACAGCAGCAGCCACCTTTTTTTCAGGACAACAGTCTGCATCACATCAAAATTCCTTCTGGGATGTTTAATGTACATGTCAGATCCTTCTCTGTGCCCACTCATGGGCAAACTGTGGCGCTCTTAGTACAGATGGAAGATGGGGACACTGGTTTGTATGTGAGTTGCAGGATGAGGTGTGTAATATTGCACATAGTGACTGGTATTGTTAGGTGATATATTCTGGTTCCATGCTGAGGGATTGAGGCTTCTTTTCCTGTTCAGCCTGTAGGCATCCTGGGCAGAATCAGTGTGTCTTGTGTCACTGTGCAGTCTCACTAAGGTACTCTCTGTGCTGTTGCACAGGCGAATGTTGTCTTAGATTCAAATGACCTGGCTGAGGGTCTTTTGCTGCCCTCCCCACCCTGCTGGAACCATTGTGCTGAATTTCTACTGTGCTAATTTTTGCAGTATACCCAAAGGCCAATTTGCTTGGATTAACACAGGTCCAGTTTAATAAATGTGTCTACCTGTCTAATAGGTTTGAGGAAATGACCCTTAAACTACTTGATTTAATTTAGAGTTAGTTTCCAGGTCTTGGTGCTTGAATTAAAATTAAGGAGTTGGCTGAATGTTGAAACTCCATGATGGAGGTGAAATCTTCCATGATAATGGAATGTCCAGCATACAGACATACAAAAAGGAAAACCTGTGATTTTAAAGGCCAGGTTGGTTCCTCTTACCTGCCTTTGCACAGAATCACAACCTGTAACCTCCAGGAAGATTGCTAATGTCATGCAGTTTGATATAGGCCCATTCTGCTTCTCCAGGATGTGTGCATGTCTAACTATATGTTAGCTAGGCCTCCAGGGCTAGCACAAGCTGGCACTCTTGCTGACTTGGTCTGTGAATCTCCTGTGATCAAATTTTTTTTTTTTCCCCTACTGCTTTTTCAGCTCATGGATGAGGCGGTAAAAGGAAGGCGGCATTCTGCAGGGAGAGAAATGTGTTTGCCAGCCTGGTGTATGCCAGTGGTAATTTTGATTTGGCTATGAAAATGGCATATATGGCCACTGTTGTGAAATGCAGGCAAATTGGCAGTCTGATGGGATGAAGCATGAGAGCTGGAAGGTGAATGTTTAGGGGTTTTCCTCTGGAAACAAACTGGCAGTGTGGTGGACAATAGCAATGGTACAATGGTTTTATCTGTGCTCTTAGACTTCCAAATGCTTTTGCAATGGAGGCTAGTATCACTATTTCCATTTTAATGGTTTAATCTAAACCAAGAGATTTGTCTATAGACCAGCTGTCAGATCAATGGCACTGCAAGGGCTAGACCTTTGATTTTCAATATGCTAATCTCTTTTCTCGAACATGGTGCACTTTTCTCATCTAGATGTGTATCAGTGTGAGAGTTTCCCATGCAAAGAGGAGAGCTGTAGTGCTATCAAGGACATTTTTGTTTGAGAAGGTGCAGATAAAGCCAGCTTTCTCTGCCAGGGCTCTGAGCTGGTTAACTGCAGGTCACCTTTACTCTGGAAACCATTCAGCCACATTCAGACAGCAGGTCGGCAGGTATTATGCCATGCTTTCAGCGTTGTTAGCATGGTTTGCCAGCTTATGGTTGGAGCTAGCTTACAGGCTCAAAGCATGGACAGGGAAATGCTGGGTGCCCTCACTCTGTCCTGAGCAGAGTTGCTCTGAGATGGATTTGTGTGCGTAAGAGCAAGAGCTGGTCCTGGATCTGAACAATATGGATTGTTTGAAGAAGCATCTCATCTTTGGTTTATATTCAAATGCTGGTTTGAGCTGGACCCTGTGTTTTGCACAGCTGATGTAGCAACTGTGCTGAGTGTGCATGCCTGTGTGTGTACAACACTGCATTCCGCAGCACTAATTCTGGAATCGCTGACTGTGCTCTACTGGGGTATTTGTAGCATAATGGGTTGCAGTTCAGTGGAAGAATATTTCAGGAAGCATTTACTGAAGTGAGAGAAACCTTTGCCAATGGGACAACTCTCACTGGGTGGTGTTTGAGCCACATTCAGGCCTTAGCAGGACATGCAGGCTCGGAGCACCATTCCTGTATCGGGGAAGAAGGATATTGTGGCCTGGTGGATTAGTCAGGTGCATGTTGTGATCCTGAGTTAATCTCATCCCTATTTTGAAATTACCATCTGTGTTTACCTCTTGCAGCCCCTCATCACCTTGGAGAGCAGCATCTCATACATCTTTGCCATGGAGGGGATGAACACTGTCACTGTGCAGGTTTCTGCGGGCAACACCCTCACCCAAGACACCAAGGAGGTCGCAGTGCATGGTACCCTCAGCCTTTTACAATCAGATCTCGGGGGGTATCTAGAGGTGAAGAACAGACAGTCACTGCTAAACCAAAATGAACTCTCTGAAATCCCTAGTGCCTGGAGGAACCTCTGAAGACAAACTGTAAACGAAGTAGCTCAGATGTGTCATGATCACAAAATACAGAAGTGAATTGGATGGGGCAGCTAGCCAAATTTGTAAGCTCAGCACTGTAGTAAAGTGGCTGGTGTCTCCTTTGCCTGTTGGTCTGTCTGTACACTCTGACTGGGAATGCCCAAAAGAAAAAACACTTAGCGCTGCAGCCAGACTGCCTTCCCTCTGCTTCCCAGCTGTGGAAAGTAGTCATAATGCATCATTAAGGTGGCCTGAATACAGCTGGTGTTTCTCTTTATACAGTGACTAGTGGTATAAGTGGGAGGGGTCTGGAAAACAGGGGGCAGAAATGACTCTGTTGTTGATATCTCTGCCCATCTTGCCATATCCGCATGTCATGGGCTCCAAAAAGTACCCTTTGGCAGACCACAGAGCTTACCCAGTTTGGGGCTTGATAAAGGCTGAGTTGAAGGGCGCTCTCACCAGTTTTGGCCAGGACTTTGAGATTTCTCCAGAGAATAATTTCCACCCTGAGCTAGTCTTCATTTTCCTTATCCAGTTGTTGGCGTCCAGCATTTGAGGGCAAACTTTTCTTTTGATAGCAAGTTTTATTGAGAGACCTGGACTTCAAATAACTCGGGTTGCACTGTGTAGTTGAACTGTGTGTCGTTTCAGTAATTAAATATAAATAAATGTCCTGCTGGTGACTGGAAAGCTGTATGCTCAGGTTTAACAACCAGCTAAATAGATATTTATTGATTGCCTGGCTGTGAAATGCAATGGGTTTTAATAATTTGTTAATATGATTTAGTAATACCCAAACTCACTATTAGCAAATATAAGTAACCCTCTACTTGATCATTTTGAGCATTGCAAAATGCAGTGTTTACTTCTGGGAAGCTTGCATCTTTCCACTAGTTTCTGGGATAAACCTGAATCAAATGTATCTGAGAGGGGTCCCCACAGATAATCTTGATCTTTGGTCCCGGTAGGTCCCATAGAGTGTTCCTCACGCTCTGTTTTTAAACACCTTATAAGAAATTTTGCCATTCTATTTAAAAGAACCAACGCTTTGGGCTTTATCACAAAGATAAATTGATCCAACTGGAACGTCCAAATAGCCCTATGCAGCGCCATGCTGCAGACTGACCTGGTCTAAGGAAGGAGTCCTTCAGACCCCCAGTCTGGTGATCAGTTCAAATCTGAGTACATAAATGAGTGACACCTTTGGTAAACATGCACCATGCTAAATTTGTATCCTAATCTGTGTCCTGTGTTATTATGTCTCTAGGCAGGAAGGCATGGCTTTCTGGTGTTAGCAGTAGAGGAGATTTATTCAGGGTTTTCTCAAATTGTGATTAACAGACCAGAATTTACTCAAAAAATAAATTGGACATGGTACTGAGGGTTCAAAAGTCAAAGGCTTTATGTATCAGCCTCTGGGTTAAGCCTTCAGAACTTGAGAGAGTTTCCCTGCTCTCTTTGATGCTTGTTTTATGTAAAAAAATACTGCATCATCTAAAAAGAAAGAACAGATCTTGCAAAAGATGCAACATAAATGCTGTACTGGGACATCCCTGCTATTCTGTGGATTTCCTCATTTATACTTTTGCTGGTTTATCTTGGTCTAAAATCAGTACCTTCTTACAAATGATTAATGGTACTTATTTGAAGTGTCTGGAGATCAGGTGCTTCAAGGTGAGGCACAGTGCATCTCCAGAAACAGAAAGGAGAATCTTCTACCCTGAGAACTTATATCTGAGTGTGATTCCCATCCTGGATCTGTGCCTCCCACTGGTCCAAATCCATTGTGCACAGTTGTCATAAGGATTCCACATTTGGTCTCTGGTGACACCAGAGGGGAGATTTAGAATTGGAGAAAAATTTAAATTGTTCTGTATTTGAAGTCTAGGAAGTTTTTCTTCCTCCCTGCAATCTATTAGGAAGTAATTTCAAAGTGTTTCCTGAATAGCCATTGCTTGATTAGCCAGTCATTAGCACCACTGGGTTCTGATTTGTTGTGGTATTAACCACTCATGGCTTCCCTCCAGGAGAGCAAACAGATAATATCTGCTTTTGAAAACATTATTTACAGTGAGTGTTTGTTCTGCAGAGCAGAATGCATGCAATTGCACAGACCTTCCAAATTTCAGCCAGATGCTGCCTTATTTATTGGTCAACTTCCTTGTAAGCAGAATCTGATGAAGTTGAGTGGCAAAATTACAAAGCCCAGAGGCATCATGAAGGGAAGGCATCCTCTCACCTCTCTCATTCTTGCTTCCATTTCTTCTGGGAAAAGCCACAAGTTGGCATTAGGGCAGAATGTCCTTTATAAAAACCCTTATAAGAATTCTTTCCTTGCAAGCTTTCTGTCCTGCTTAATGTTAGCCAGCCCTCTTTCTTCCTTCAGCCTTTCCTCTCTCTCTTGCTTTAATATAATTTAATTATGGTCTTCCTGTTGTCTTCTGCATCCTTGGCTGTACCCTGAACCCATTTAATCTTCTCATAAATACTGTTTTTCTATTCCAGAGTATTTCCAATCTCAGCTCCTGTCATTTTCGCCCAACTTGGACTACTATAACCCTGACATCCCTGAATGGAGACAAGACATTGGCAAAGTCATCGAGAGAGCTCTAGCACAGGTGAGCATCTGTTTCCTCGTCTGTGCTAACATTGACTAGGCTGTTAAAACATGTACTTTTTCAACATGCTAGCTTAAAAGAATGGGAAAGAACAGCAGTAATGAAGCTATCACTTTAAATTGATAAAAAGCTTCTTAATACGCTGGATCTTTTTACAGAGGTAAAATATATTGGGAATTTTGTGGAAATATTATAATTGCTTTTATTAATGTTTCTGTGGTGCTTTTAAGCTTTTAATATCCCTAAGAACTTTACAAATTCTAGATTGTAATAGTATCATTATTATTCTTATTTTGCCAAATTGATATTACAGTATCTACTGTTTTCTACTCCAAACATTGGGGTAGTGTTGCTGTGTGTTGTTAAACAGCTGATCCACTTCATCTCAGATGACAGACATTGTAGTATGTTGAATGCATGAGGAAGATATTTTTACCTCTTCCTGATACTCAGTCTTCTAATGCAGCTAAGTGTAGCAACTGGCGAACGTTATAAACCTCTACTCCCTTTCCAGCTGGGGCAAAAAAATGAGGATTCAGAGGGAAAATAAACTTACCTTTAAAATACAGGACAAAGAGAGACTTCTGTGGGTGGAAGATACTGAATCTTCCTTTGGGATTAATTAGAATATGTAAACTAGCACTCATATTCTTGCAGGAAAGGGGACAGAATAATTTATGATATCAAATAGCCAGGGACTTTGGTTTTGTGTGAAATCAGGAGAGAGAGATTTAGGCAAGCTTTTGTGTTTTTTACATTCTGCCAAAAATGTATCTTGCTTTTTTTTGCTTCAGCTACAGCTGTTCTTAGAAATGGAGGCTGATCATTTTTACAGGGAAAGTA